CAGGAGGACAAATACCACATTTCCTATCATAGAGACTTTAGAGTCTAACATGTTTATGTACAGGACACGAAGACACAAAGGGTGAATGAGAGGGATAAATGGCTTTGAGAGGAAAGGACAAGAATAGGGAATGAAAAGAGATGTAAGCAAAGTACAGAGATTATAGTATGAATAAAAATAATTTTTAAAGAAAATGTCATGATTTTCTACAAAAACAACAACAACAACAACAAAAATAGGCATACCAAGAAAGCATTTGCCACTCAGCCTCAATGCATGAGATGGCTAGAAGCATCCATGCAAGGGTTGCTGGTGTCACAACTTCATGGCTCAGTCAGTAAAGCCAAGCTTTCAGAAATGATTGACACAGTTGACGTCAGCATGTTTGTTGGCACATGTTGCCTACAATGCAGAGCAGTAGCATGTCCTCTTACAGCATCTTAAAACTACAATGATTCAGAAAATTCAGTAATGTCAGAACAAAATTAATTTATCTATACAATCTTTGTCCTTCTTTATGAAGATTTTTCAGACTAGTGTATCTTGAGAATAATGCTTTACCATGGCTGAGGGAGGTGTGTGTGTGTGTGTGTGTGTGTGCACTTATGTATAATGAAGATCAAACCTAGAGCCTCATACATGCCTAACACATGTTCTTAGTCATTGAGTGGAAATATTGAATCAGTTTAAAATGAGTTACATGTAAAAATATTTAGCCTGATACCTGGTTTATGGAAATGCATATATTTGTTAAAATGCTTATGAATTTTGAGCCTAAGGTCTAGGGAAATGACTCAGCCATTAAAGTGCCTTCCATACAAGCATGAGGATCTGACTTTGGGTACCCAACACATTTATAAAAACCAGCCCTGGTGGTACACATGTGTAACCCTAGGATTGACATTGGAAACAGTATCCCTTAGAGGTTTCTAGAAAACTAGTCATGTCAATTCATATACTCAGGTTCAGTGACAGGCCCTGTCTGAAATAATTAAGGTAGAGAGCAGTAGAGGAGATGTCTGGCATTGACCTCTTGCCTCCACAGACACCACACACACACACACACACACACACACACACACACACTTTAAATCATGAGCCAGATGCAATAGTGAACACCTGCAGTCCCATCACTTGGAGCCTGAAGTGGGAGAATCATCTGAGTCTAAGAGTTTGAGAGTGTCCTGGGCAATACAACAAGGCCTCTGCCAGCTTAAAATTTAAATGGCACATGTCCTAAACCTTATGGGCATAACTGATTCCATTTTTTTATATGAAAGAGTCAATAAGAAGAAAATTAAGTGCCTGGTTAGAGAGTAAGGATGACATTTCATCTATTGCAGCTCCCTCAATACACTGCCTTTAATAATAGAGACATAAATATAGTGAAGCCATGCTATGGACTTGAGGGTTTGTCCTATAATTCACAAGTAAAGGTCCTTCATTCTTGGTTTTCCTCAGTTTTACTGTTCATTATATTACCATTTCCACCAGAAAGTGTAACATGGAAGAGAAATAAGAGCTAGTGAACTTTTTGTGTGAGTTTGACTCGTCAAAGCAACATCAAAACAGCTGGATGCAGTGAGACCAGCTGTGTTTTCATCCACAGTTCTTCCCTGATTTCTGCAAGTCTCGGTTATGCTCCACTGTGTCGGCGCTTAGAAAGTTTTGAGATACTGATATGAGAACATTTTATTTGAAAATCAATAAGAATCATGGCTTCTCTTTGAAAGCGCTTTTACAGGCACGAAGAATAGTGGAGGGTTATTTGAACTCTGCCAAGTTATTACTTTTCTTGGCAACTGGAAACAGAAGAAACCTCTTCCCAGCATAGGCCTGGAAACAACATTAATGTTCCCATAACACCCTTTTACAGCCCATTTTGCTCTTAATTGTTTGACAGCTGGTTCTCTTCATGACTGAAGACTCTTTAAGAGTCTGCCTTTCCTTTAAGTAGCCTTGCCTTCCTAGCACAGAAGACTCTGTGGATAAATAAAAGATCAATTAAAGATCACCGGGGTCAACTTAAAGGTGAACCAAGATTCAATTTCAAATTTTATATGTATGTGTGTGTGTGTGCGCGCCATGTGCTATGGAGTCCAGAAGATGGTGGAGGATCTACTGGGACTGGAGTTAGAGACTGTTGTGAGCCATCCATGTGGGTGCTAAGAAAAGAACCCTGTAGTGGGATATTCGCTCAATTCTTTTATGCATTGAGCCATTTCTCCAGGCTCCTCCCCCTGACTCCCTCTTAAATGTTACACCTATCAAAATCAGATCTTCAGTGATGTAGAAGATAGCAGCAACTTGGAATCAAAATATACTCATCCCTAACTGCCTCTCCGTTCTCTACATGCGCTACAAGTGGGCCAAATTATCCATCTATTGCTGTGTGCTGGTTGCCTTTTAAACTAACTGAGGGTTTCAGAACAATGCTGGGAAATAGGTTATCTTGCCAATACAGCTTAAGTGACAAGCAATATTTAAGAAGCTCTCCTTCTTAAAATTAGACCAAATAACCAGCAATGTGCAATTGTAATAATTGAAGATTCCTACTAATAATTATTTCAATACTTGGATGAGTTCTTGATAATATATGATTAGATATGTTGCTGAATATTCAGCTTAAGGTTTTAGAGAGGTTTGAAATCAAATTTACTAAACTTTATGTACACACCATTCCTCCTTTAGATTCCTTCTGACATGGTAAAGACAGGGTATCAGTGATTGATTCATAAGTTAAATCATTTTATCATATTGATTCTAGAAATTAAAGTTAATAAAGCAATACAACATGAAGAAAAGACACAAGTTCCTATCAGGCTAAGACTAGCCTTGAGAATCTCAAGATTCATTTTTCTCTTTGAGAATACTCTCACTTCATCATCTAAATAATTGAACCAGATTCTTTACTTTATGATATGCACTGATTGACCATTCAATTCATTTCATAAAATAACTCAGATTAGTATTAAATACTGACATCAATGATCTGGAGTGATGGTGCATGGCTTTAATGGGAGCCAGATGCAGCAGGATCTCTGTGAATCCAAGGCCAACTTTGTCTACACAGTGAGTTCCGGGACAGCCAAGACTACATAGAAAGATACTATCCCAAAGAAAACAAAGTTAAGGAACAAAATAATTACATTCATATCTCCTTAGTTCAATCAAAATAAGGCTACATCTGTTTAGGTTATAGCAATAATCCTGATGACCATTATAAAGCATATTACACTTCTGCACGTGTGAAGCAATTTACCCAATGATCAACATTTTGTTTGTGGTGGCTTTGAGAAAAATTCCTTCCACCATAGAAGGACATCAGGAGAAGGCAATCGTTTGCTAAGGTTTTTGTTTGCTGCTTAGAAACAAAACAGCCAGATAATTGCATCATCTTAAGGAATCTGAAGAACCATGCTGTCCTCATACTAGGAAGCAGAAGTAGTTCTTTCCAGTTTAGGAAGGCAGCAAAAGTAGCAGTGGCAGCTGAGTGAAACGACATCACAAGTGACACGTGTCAAACATGAAGAACAGACACATCACTAACAGGCCCAGGAAGTTCAGTTGGCGTGAATTGTGCAAAAACTCTTCCTTCTGTTTACAAATTCAAAGGCCCACTAGTGCTCCAGCCATGTTGCTCTCTGAAAGTCTTTGCTCTGTACTGGACTTCTGGTGTCACACTCTGGCAGGAACTAAAAGTCAAAAGCACAATGCCTGTCTTTCTCTTCCCCACAACTGGTGACAAGCTCCTAAGAGTTACCACCTCTCACAGAGCACTAACCAACTAGCAGACAGTGTGTGCCAATTACCTGATTTTCATTAGATTCAAACTAATTTTTCAAAGCAATAGGAATATAAACACAGAAAAGGCCTGGCTTAGATAGCTACTAAATGTGTTTTTACTTTCTGCTCAAAATATCTTAAAAATAGGTTTTCTTTAGGACACATTTTCAGTCAGTAAAAATAAGCATCAAAAATATGCACTGTGCTTGTTTAATATGAGCAATATAAAATACCAAACCAAAAGAAAAAAAAGTTTAAATTCAATCATTTTTAAAATTGCAGTTATGGTGCTTATTTAGCAAAAATATTTTTATCTGGCTACTTAGCATCATTTAATATGCAACATTAAATAATCATTGCAGAATGTCATCAAATATAATTAGCAAAAGTATTTTTATCTGAATACTTAGTTCTTCATATATGCAATAATAAATATTCATTGCAGCAAGCTATCAAATATAAGTTTTAATAAATTTATATGATTTCTATTTTTAATAGAATGATGTTTTCTTTTTTCCTTTTCTTCTTATTAAATGCTAAGGATCATAATTATCACTTAAATATCCACAATAACATGTTTTCCAATCTCTTAATGATACATAAATAGTTTAAACCTCTTATCCTTTGCTCCTCTCTCCTGGATTTTCAATAATCATTAACAGTTCTTTAAAGGACTCTCATAATGGGTTCTGCCATGTTCCCAATGCTCACACACACATAACTGTTTGCCCTTGTACCTATCTAGTTTTTATTGTATATTGAAAATTCTAAAATTACTATTGTTTTTCCAAAATCATCAGTAAATTATTTGCATCAACTTGTGATCAAATAAATTCGATCACTTAAAAAATACATGTTATTTTCCTTAGTAAATAGTTTCCAGAATGTAAGAACAGACTTACAACTATTCCAAAGGAAGGAAACAGTTTAAAGAATAACTCATGTAATGGTATTATCTTCCGTCCTGTGTCTGGAATCTAAATACAGATTTTTAAATATTTTTCATTTTCAATTGTAACTATAACTAATTTCTAAGGCTCTGTGCTGGACAAGAATAAACTAAGATTTGGATCTCATTTTACTTAAAGGTATTTTAGATGTTGAACTTCATTCAGCTCACACAGCATACACCCAAAAAGATCTTGTCTGTCACCATTAGCTGACAATTTACTCTAAAGTAAAAAAGGAGAGCTCGGTTGTGATGATTTACTTACCTTTTGGTGTCTTGAAAAATTCTGGCAGGACTAAAATGAATGTGACCACAATTGCCACAAATAATTTAAAGAAAGCGGTTTCTGTCATGGCTACTCACATGACACAAATGTGTTTCCAACCAGTAGCTTGATACTCTGTTGCTTCCTGCTTCGAGTTTCATCTCTGTTCTACTTCAAGTTCCTGAGAGATTGACCTCACACTCACTTCCTTTTGGGTCAGACTTAAAAAAAAAAAAAAAAAGGTACCCGGAACTGAGTGAGACTTCTTCATTTTGAGTCACTTTGCCTAATAAAGCCACCCTCTAACAAGAGCTTCTGAACTATCTACTAAACAAGGGAGATGCATAAATGATCTTCAGAAGCAGAGGGGGTCTAGCTTCATCCAGATTTGAAGCTGTTTCCCATATTTACCAGTGTGTAAGAATAAATGTAAACCTACAACATAATAGCCAAAACTAAAAGGGCAAATGTCAATGGCATCCAGGTTTATGAACACCATTCGATAGTTTACTTATTAAATGATAGTTGATCTCACTGAAATGCCAGACGCTGTGTTGGAGTCTGGTGTTTAGAAGACAGTAAACACCACAAGAGATGAGAATAAACTAAAGGCTTGTGAAAATGTTAGGGTTTTGCTTCACTATTGTCTCTATAAGGGGATAGAATGTAACTTGTTATGTCTATAAACACTATGTTTACTATTACACAATCCACATTTCTATTCTCCTCGCTCAATAATAAACTCTTTCGTTAGTATAATCCCAGAGAAAGAAAATAGTTTGTTTTAGAATGTAAATGAAGGGCAGGGGAAACCATGCTGAATAAAGCATTTGTACAAGCAAATGTCTTTACTTAGACAATGCATGTAGTTAGCATCGCCACTGTTATCTACCCATCCCATTAAAATAAAAATGTATCAAATGCTTCCCTGCTTGGTCCCTACAGCCCCCAAACTATTCATTTCTGCTTAGCCTATACTTTCTTCTCACTAGTCCATTTCTAAGCTGTTTGGAACAATAGGTGGGTAAGGAGAAAGGACTAAAGGACAATGACCATGCTGTGAATATGCTCTATGAATCAACTGACTTGTTTTCTGATTGAATACCATGATTGATGTACACACGGGAATCCTTGCTTAGGGGATTTTAAGACCTGAGCAGTAGAAATAGGAATAGAATTTGCAAGCATATACTTTAAGAACAACATCAAGTTTCATTATGTGAACACTAGCTGATAGGAGTGGTTTCCAGTTAAGTACCAGCTAGATTCCTTGATACTCTGTAAGTATACATAGTCTTCAGCAACAGGGTCTTACTTCTGAGTCCTGGAGGATAACCAATAGCATTAGCAATAGTTTGTAATGTTTGTGGGGTCTATGGGATCCCTTTGGCCAGTAACTGGAAAAGATATAACTCATTCCTGGTGCTGGGGGTTTTACCTGGTAGCATTATGATGTCTAGTTGAAGTATTGGTTCCCTGCCCCATGATATGTAATTCCATTTAAACTTCTTTTATATACATATATATCTTAGGAAGTTTCTGTATGATTTTCCAAAGTTCTTTACAGTTAGTTGTTCTTGCCACAATTCCTCCTCTCCCCTGCCCTCCCAGCCCTGCCCCCATCATGCCTCCTATTCTAGTTTCCCCTTTATCTCTTTATTGTACTATATTCTATTTCTCCTTCCTTGGAAATCTTAATGTCTAGTCCTTCCCTTAATTTTGTAATAATGCCTTAGTTCACTCGGGAATTCTTATAGCCATATAAAAAATATTGATTGAATGGTTTTCTTTGTTGTAATATTTCTGCCAGGTCTGTATTAGTCACTTTCTGTTGCTCTGTCAAAATTTCTGAGCAAAATTACTTAAGGGAAGAAAGAGTATTTGGGCTTATGTATTGAGAGGCTTCCATGCATGCTCCTGTGACTCCATTGCTGCTGGATCTATGCATGGTAAGGCAAAATATGATGGAAACCATGGCAGAGCAAAGTGGCTCACCTACTGGTGGGCAGGATATGTAGGAAGAAGGGACTGAACAGAAATGGGCCCATTAAGAGCATTCCCCCAGCAACCCACTTCCTACTAGAGCCCACTTAATAATTCATGCAGTAAGAACCCCATGGATTAATCTGTTGATTAAATCAGAACTTGTGTGGTCTATTCATTTATCAAAAACCTTTCAGCTGGCAGTCAAGCCTTAAACATATGAACCTTCATGAAACATCTTTAGAATCTGAATCAAACCACTCAGACATAATGCATAAGGACATTCCCATGCATGTGAGCACACACACACACACACACACACACACACACACACACACACACAGAGAGAGAGAGAGAGAGAGAGAGAGAGAGAGAGAGAGAGAGAGAGAGAGAGAGAGAACACCACCACTGCCCTCCTCCCTACCACTCAATCTGGTTATCATATTTTTAGATACTTTAAAGTCAATTTTCTTGAAAGGCCCTTTGTCCTGGCTGCGATGATCGTATGCTCCGCACCTGGCTTCTCTGGTGGTGTCCAGATGGTGGATATCAGGAGAGCAACAGAAGGACCATAAATCCCAGACCACAGGCTGGCTGCTTTGAGGACACAGGGGATCAAAATCTTTAAGCCAGACTGTAAGACATGACGTTTGTGTTATCTCTGATTTAGCAAATCTTAATAAAGGTAATGTTATTGTCTGTGGTCGTTCTCTCTCTCTCTCTCTTTTTCTTTACATTTACATTGTGTGTTTATGTGTGTGTGTGTGTGTGTGTGTGAGAGAGAGAGAGAGAGAGAGAGAGAGAGAGAGAGAGAGAGAGAGCACATGTGCCAGTACCTTGGCATGCCTGTGGAGATACACAGGACAACTTTTGGGAGTCCATTCTCTCCTTACAGAGTGTGGGCCTTGGGGGCCAAGCTCAGCTCATCATGTTTGTTGCTGTAAGAAATATTAAATGAATCTTTTCCAACAAATACTGTAAAACATGTGTTTAGGACAAGGAATTCAAATCTTTTTATCTCCTTCACATTGTAAGACTTCTATACCAATGTTTTTGTCTCTTGGGCCAGTAAAACCTTTGTTTAAAAAGGCTCCTGATGCATTCCAGAAATTTGAAGGCCTGGAGCAGTGACCCTTTTCTCCTTGGAGCAATGGCCCCTTCTTCTTTCTTTTCCTGTGAACCAACTCTTCAGACTATCCAACCAGATATGATGGTAAGGTCAGGCCCCTGCCAATGGGAAAAGACACTCACCACCTGAGTTAGAATTAAAATTACTAGCAATTATAATTTCTTATGATTTGCCCGTTTAAGCATTCATATCTTTGTTGACTTGTAGGCCTTTTTCTCTATTGGAGAGTGAAGAACCAGGACACATCCACAATCAAAGCAAAGCAAAACCAAATTTCCAACTGTAAATAGTTCAGTGTCTAATGTCTGGGATCCACGCGGGATCTCCCAGTGTCCCCCCAAAGGGCTTTGATAGTCATCTGTAGCACACACAGTTTGTCTTCTGAGCCTGGACTTCATTCCACAGCTGCTGCCGTCCTCTATGATCATCCCTGGTACCGGCATCCCCAACATCCTGGAATCTCCTGCTGCAACTGGGCTGTACTTTCACCATTAGCTTTTGCTGGACTCTGTCCGTGATGCCAAGCTTAAACTTCTCTGCATGAGCCCTTCAGTCCTAGTCCTCAGCTGCTCTCCACCATTCCTTCATGCTTTCAACACCTTCTGGGTGACCCTCACACTGCCAAATTTGGCTGTCAGCGCAAGGTACAATCTTGGCCACCTCTAGAACACAACTTCTGTGTGCTGACTCCCAGGAACACCTCCCAGAAGATTTCATCTCAGTAATTCTGGTCTCTCCTTAATCAGTTTCTCAGCTCCAGCTGACCAGCACCAATTAACCCAACAAAGCAAAGCCTTAACTGCAGTGTTTCTGCTATCTTCATATCACAGCCAATTATTCAGCCCCAGCTAACCAGAACCACAGATTCCTAATTCAAAATACACAATGGCCCCACAGAGTCTTTGAGTGACTCTGGAACTTCATAAGCCAGGCATCCACCCTGTATTTCTCTTGAAACCCTTGTCTTCTACACTCCCTCAGAACAGCTCACCAAGTTTGAACCTTCCATGGATTTTCTAGCCCAAAGTTCCAAAGTCCTTCCTCAACCCTTCCCCAAAACAATACAGTCAGCTCTGTCACAGCAACGCCCCATTATTCTGCTACCAATTTTTGTCTCAGTTAGGATTACAATGGCTGTGATGAAAATGTGATGAACAAAAGCAAGTTGGGGAGGAAATGGTTTGTTTGACTTACACTTCCACATTATAGTCCATCATTGAAGGAAGTCAGGGCAGGAACTCAAACAAGGCAGGACCCTGGAGGCTGGGTCTGATGCAGAGGCCATGGAGAGGTGCTCTTACTGGTCTGCTTGCTCATCATGGCTTGCTTGGCCTGCTTCCTTATAGAATCTAGGATTAGCAATCCAAGGATGGTACCACTCACAATGGTTTGAACCCTTCCCCATCAATCACTAATTAAGAAAATACTCTACAGCCAGATCTTATGGAAGCATTTTGTTAGTTGAGGTTCTCTCTTCAGATGACTCTAGCTTGTATCAAACTGACATAAAACTAGCCTGCGCACGGCAGGTGGCAGGAATCCACTGACAAGCAGTTCAGAAGGACATGTTTCCTGGCTCATCTCTCCTAAAGAGTTTGCAAACAGCTCAGACATTTCTAAATTCAACAGCTCACGTGCAACTGAAGCAGCAGAACTATTGTGTCTGAAGCAGCCCCCACCCCCAATGGCATTGCTATCCCAAGAGGACAGCCTGGGCACAAGCCAGGAAGGTTTCTTACTGAGTAAACAGAGGGTTGTTATTGGGTAAACAAAGCCCTAAACTCAGCATTCCTCAGCAATCCTATGAGATGGGTAGCTGCTACTTCTCTTAATCTATTTCAATGGCCAACTACTTTGGACAAGAGGCATCTAGTTCCTGATTAGCTAGAAAAGCCTGGAATAGTTCAAAGTTCCCATTCTAACTTCCAGGCTGTTACAGCAAGCATACTGCCTCCTTCTTGCTACCTTCTCAATGAAAATTGATAAGGCTTTTTCCGCCGGATGTGCTGTCTCTACTCTCTGAGGCAGCCCGGTAGTTTGTTCTCCAATA